GGTCCTTCTCTCCATTGTCTAGACGTTTTTTGAGTTCAGTGCGGAGTACACGGGAGCGGGCACGTTGCTGTATGGTTAGGTCAGGGCGACAACGGAGGTTCTTATGGTTGGTGTTGGTTTTGGCGAGTGAATTTATAGTGTAAATGAATTTACGTTTGCTTGATTCATTTTTGCAAATGACCCTGCACAAGCGTGGGGCCACAGAGCCGTCTCTGTTTTTGAGCTCTCGGCCAATGCGGGAAATGTCAATTATTTCATCAGCGGAGATGGTTGATGCTTGATAATCACTGATGATGTTTCGGACAGTTGTGATGTCATCATTGTCATTGATGTTCTCTAGACCAAATAAGATGGCGTTTGGACGTTTCCGTTCATGCTCAACAGCTTCTCTGATGAGGATTGGTCTCTGATGAGGATTATTTTATTTAGCAGTTATTATTATTTTAGCTAGCAGTTTATTTGTGTTTGTTTAATCTGAATAGTGACAATAGTGTGCAATTACTTTATGCTTCAAAATGCTTAAGAGCAAAGGTACGTTAAACATGCCAAAAAGAGCCCTTTCCTGCTTGTCTGTTAACTGTTTTGCCCTCACTCGCTTCTGACATGTAAATTCATATTTGAATTCAAGCAGTTGTTGTGGGAAATTCCAAAGGAAAAAAGAAAAAGAATGGCGTGTGCAGCATTACTTATTTCTTTTCTACGTGCATACATATGAAAACCCCAAATGGAGAACTGGGGGTAGGAGGTTAACCGCAGAGCTGAGAAAATGCTTTATTTGTTTGCTTAAAGTTATATGCCATTCCCCTCACTATCAAAAACATTCAGGGAAACTGTAGTGCCTTTGCTCATATATCATTTTTCCATTTGGGAGATAAATTTAATTACTTCATCAAAACACTGTCATTTAATACTTTTAAGTAAAATTGCCTGTATAATATTTACTTTTAAGAAAATGCCTGAGGGCAGATTAATGAATATTGTTACAGCAGATATATTGACACTATACTTCTGAAGAACTGAAACATTGTGTCCATGACATGTTAGTCACTTTAGATATTGCTCAAGATAGATGGACAAAGATTACTAGACATAACTTCAGAACATATAGGTCACTGTTTTAATAAAATATGATAAAGACATCTTTAACAAGGAAAATTGAGTAAGAATGCATGTCAATACCCCTTTCATGAAACTAATGGGAAATAATGAATATATGCTTGCCAAAGTGATAATGTCCAGGCCACAAATGTTGTTATATTATTTGTGTGACAACTGTGTAAGAGTTAAAGCATTACTAATGGTTTGTACAGCTATTGGATTGGTAGCTACTGGAAAGCAGTCATAATATTGAATACAAGACCTTGTGCTAGATGCAATGTGATGTTTAGCTTAGAGCAGGGCTGCAAAAAGTAGAGCCTTTCCCAACATATTTTTAATGCCAGACACAGTGGGTAGAGCCACAGTTTAGGCCACATTTTACAGTTTTAGAAAGTTTAAATAAGGTTGTTAAGATAGCGCATCCAAATCTGGATAGCAAAAGTTCAATGGCAGCGAAGTGACATAGAAAATGTTTGTAGCCCTCATGTGGTTGCCCAGAGTTTTGCAGCAAGAACTGATAGCCCAAGTCAAAAAAACAAACAAACTAAAATCCAGAATATTTATAAATATTTAAGATAATCCTTTCATTGTTGAAACTCTATCTCCAAACATGCTCAGTATCTACTCACTGCTGAATTGCAGTTCTAAACATGCAATGCACAATCTGACCTGACTCTCAAACTTTCAGAGGTTTTGCATGTCTGGCTTGGCATATTGTGAGAATCTTGACAATTGTGTTATTTGTTTGATTGTTTAGGAAATTTATATGGCTGCCTACTTGTTCACAGTGACTCTTGGCAGCTTACAAGCAATAAAAACACAGTATAGAATACAATAAAATAATAAAAAATAAAATAAAATAAGTAACCCTCCCACTCCTGATGACAACACACAGTCAAATGAGCCATTTGAGGAGCTGCATCCCACTCTGGGTTCCTCAGGCCTGCTGGCAAAAATCAAGTCTTCAGGGCGTTATGAAAGAGTGTCAAGTGGGGACCCGTCTAATTTCTGAAGGGATATTTCAAAGGGAGGGATTTTTATAAATCATGATTCATTTGTACATGGACTGAATTCATTAGTTCAAGACTAACAGCTACATTCTCAAAACATGCTTAACTTGATCAGTTTTTCTTCTTGGTTGGGGAGGAAATAGCTTCTTGTGCAAGCTTACACTATTTAATTTCTAAATCAATGTGTTGTATGAATGCTGGTTAATGGATTGTATGAGTGCAACCAGACTTTAGTGAATAAAGCACTGTAAAGCTGTGTTCATATATTAAGTATTTACTCTTAAGTAGTAAAGCACAGTTACAAACTAAACAATTCAATTCCTACAACTCTAAGCCATGGGTAGAAATCTTATGCACTGTCAAAATTAGCCAGATCACATTAATTTTTCTGCATTGAGTGAATCTAGCTGTTATAGTTTATGATGTAGCATATCACACATATCCCTTGACAGGTGAAAACCTACATATGCTATTTACCTTTATACCAGGGATGTCCAACCTTTGTAACTTTAAGACTTGTGGACTTCAACTCCCAGAATTCCCCATATGCTTCTAGTATATGAGAGATGCAGCTTTCCATTTCTCCAAGCTTTGTTAACATTTTCCTGCTGCTTAAAATGTTGTGTTATGAATTGCTGTGCTTGTATCCTGTTTATAGTATTTGTTCTCTTCCAGTGCAACAGGAAGCTGTTGCCTGCTCTGTTTAAAGGTTAAACTCTGCTTGTATTGAGAACAGTCAGCATAGGAAGATGTTTTTGACTGTGTTAGCTTCGGTCAGGACATAAAAGGCTTTCTACCAGGGCAAAATGGAATTTATCCTAGCGGACAACCTTAATGGTATGTCAGGCATTCATTGCTGCCTATCTGAACAAGAACAGCTTGTACTGCTGATTGTCTGCCAGCTAGCGTTGGCTACTATTAACTGCACCTTCTTCCCCTCAGCCAAGGTCTTTGGAAAAATAATACTCATAACATAATGGAAAATCAAATTTTTAAGATTAGTTTTCCCCCTCCCCTATCGCTTGTCTTTGTCTCCTGTGAATAGCAGTAAAAAGGGTAAACCATTAGATGTTTACATGAAATGCCAATAAAACAGGGCACCTAATCATAGTACCTTTGACCCTAAATAGGATTTCCAAACGATTGAAAATCCTTCGTGGATAGAACTTTACAAAACTGAGCTTCTTTAGAATGTACTTACCATAGGGACATTGGAGATGGACATGTAACGTTAGTGATTGGCTTGGAGATAAAAGTTTCACTCCATCTTCCATAGGTTAGAATTAGATAATATGCACTTAGGAGTGGAGGGGAGATGTTTTAATGTATTCTAGAGTTTTCAAACTTCTACTTTCATGGCAGCCTGTTGGACCAGTTTTTTTGAAGCTTTTGTAATATGCTGGTAATCGTTAAAAATTGCACGCAATGTCTCAAAGATAATAGCAATGTCCCAAAGGTAATATCTGTGGCCCATATACCAATTGTACCTCCAGACTGAGTTTTTTTTGGAACAAATTTGAATTATTTTAAGATACAGTACACCATTAGCTTTTTGTTTTAGAGAATTATCACATGCTTTTTTAAAAAATAAATTTGCTTTTAAAAATTATTCTGGCAAAGTAATTATGAAAAGAAAAAGGAACCAGACTGGGCAAGTTTCATATCACAGCTTTCTGCTAAGTCTAAGGAATCTTTACAAAGTCAGTCAAGATAAGGAGTAGATTCCTAATTTTATCAAATTTCTGTTAATTTTAATGTTTTTATATTTGTGCTTTTATTGTATTGTAAGCCACGCAGTGTGGCTTTGGAAAGTAACATGGACAGCATATAAATTTAATTAATAGTCAGCAATAAATGTATAGGTTATGTTAAAATAATTATATTTAATGCTTTAACTTAGAACAAGGCAAATTTAGAGGGGGGAAATGACCTTATGAACCACAAAATTAATCAAAAGAGCAAGATCCTTAATTCAAATGGCAACATAGATTACCAGACTGTGCTAAACCATAATGTGATTTGTGTTCGATTTTGTGAGTGTAAACCCAATAATTGTGGCTTATAATTTATGCTTGTGTGTTCTATGTATCAATCATGGCCTATTCAACAAAACAATATTGCATTACTTGTTTCATTACATCCTCGTTTCCTCCAAAAATTCAAGATGACACATGTACCTCTTCTTCTTGCAGCATGTAATTATCACCTAATTTTATTCCACAATGACCTTCTGAAGTAGGCTGAGTTGAGAAAGAATTATTGATTTGAAGTCATCTATTGGCTTCCATGATTGAGGGTGGGTTTGAATCTGTTTCTCAATTGTAATCAACACAATACTTCTGGATATAATTTTTGAGTCAACTATATATCCAGTTAATTGTCATGCCATCCGGCCAATGTGTAATCAGTATGACTGAAAATGAACACAGTACATGTATCAATGCCCAATTTCATTGTGAAGTACCAATAACTTAGAAACTGAAAGAAAGAGTTGCCAATTTGTTATTTAGTATGAGTTACAATTTAACTCTGCTCAAATGCAATTTATTGCAGTTTACAATTACATCAAACCAACAAAAGAAATGAATAATCTTTGATCTTTTTAGTTATGAGCGGTCCTTAACCAGAAACATTTAATAAATGAAAACAAGAATTGGCAGCAAACTTTGACTGATATCTAGGCTCTGCAGAACACAAGGATCTGTCCATATTGCAAAACTTCACAAAACAGACTTTATAATTCCATTGAGTTCAGTGGTGGGATTCAATTTTTTTTTACTACCGGTTCTGTGGGCATGGTTTGGTGGCCGTGGCAGGGGAAGGATACTGTAAAATCTCCAGTCAGAGGTGGGATTTGCCGGTTCTCTGAATTACTCAAAATTTCTGCTACCGGTTTTCCAGAAATGGTCAGAACCTACTGAATACCAACTCTGACTGAGTTCCTTCAAAAATGCAGTTTGTATTTCAGCTATTCCAACAAAAAGTCTTGGAACTGTTAGGTCAGTTTGATCCAAATGGAAATGATATTATTACACTGAATAAAAGAGCAGCATCAAATGAACACTGTAATTCTCAACTGGGATTCAGGGGAATGGGAAGGATTGTGCAGCCAAGCAGAATTTGAAGATGAAAGACAGATACTATATTTTAAAAGGATTAAAAATATAGTGGCACATGGTAATTAGTTAGGTTTACATATCCTATTTAAGTCATAAATTATTATTTATTTAAGACTGACTGGTTCATAACTTAAATCACATTATGGTTTAGTGCAAAATGTGTGGACTAGATAACAAAAATGTTCATTTCTTTAATTTCTGTATGATGCCTGGTTAAATAGTATGTTCATATTCTGAAACAGTACTAAAATCCATAAAAAAAAATCTATCAAAGACAAATATAGGATGAACGTTCACACCACAAACAGTGATTACACTTTAAATCTGCTTTTAACTCTTAGAAAATATCAGGTGAGACCACCATTTCATTTTGTCTCATAGTGATTTCTCAAGGCTTCAGATAGTTGTCTTTCTAACCCTTGTCACCAGGAATCCTTGAAGTGAATATCCTACAAATAGAATGGTTACTCCATACATGACCCTATAATTTCTCAAGACTTTTAAAGCTTACAGCTAGAATGGTGGAAAACTTTTCTTGGTAGCATTATTCCAGGAAACTTATCTGAAGAAGAACTCCCAAACTCTTGTTTAAGTATTCAAAACAAAATCAAGAATATGGAGATAGATTAGAGTATCACAAAATCTTTGTTTAAAAAAATGCATTAAAAATGCATTTGTAATGCTAATGTTTTTCCAGTTAATGTTTTTCAGATGTGCCAGTACTGTATTTCCCATCATTGCTGGTCAGGCCACTTCTTTCTTTCTTCCATATCGCCACACCTTTTCCTGCTGCCTATACTGAGCCTCTTGAAAAGTTTTCTTTACTTGAGCAGAAAATCCAGGACTATCTTCTTGAAGAATATTAACACACTGTAGGATGAAAGGAGTCCTCTCCCATGGGAGTGGTCTGTTTCGTGGCCGCATGGGTATCACACTGTTATGTTTGTGTGGGATGGTCAGTGCACCCAAAAGAGAAGTATATGATTGGAATTCACACCAAAGGTCTCTTAAGAAGTTTTCTGTCAGCAGTATAATTATCCAGGCAGAATCGTTAATGGCATCAGTTAAATTTTCCAGCAAATGCCTACCACTAGGCATTTCCGCAAAAATGATTCCTGGTTTGATACAATATTCATTTTGTAAGAGGTCTTGGACTCTAATGGCTTCTTCTATATCCTCCTCAGCATGAAGAATCACAAACCTGTAGAACCCATCTTCAGACTCATCACTGCTAGCATTTACATCTTGGATGCTAGAATGGGAACAGTTTTCTAATGTGGAGTTTCGGTTAAAGTGGTGTTCGTTTCGACTAGCACACTTAGGTTTCATTCTGTTCTTCAGAAAAGAGGGATACATTCTTCTAGAAATATTGTTTCCCATTGTGGCTAACTTTTAAAAGTAAAGAGTTAGTAACCTCATTCTTCCAGTCTGTAAAACAAATGGAAAATAACGAAGTATATTATTATCAGAGTTAACCTGAAAAGAATGTAGGTCAAGGAATATGGGACGGAAGTTATTAAATTATAAACTACAGGAACAAGGAGCACTACAAGTGACCCTGAGGACACCGATAAACGCTTCTAAGCACTGATTGGTGTGGGCCAAGGGCAAATTCTAAGAAATGTGGAAAGGCTGGTGTGGCCATTACAGGGTACAGGGTTCCAACAGAGTATGAGATTCCCTAGGATCTCATATTCCATAGCAGAACTCCTTGGGAGAAAAAATGATAGGAATGACCTATGGGAGCGACTTGCAAGCTTCTCTCCCAGCTTCCCCATCAACTTTCCTTGTGGGAAATCAGCAAGGCAGGTCACAAATGGCCATCATATGACTGCATCAGCACCCAGATTGTGATCATGTGACTGCAGCGATGTTGCGATAGCCACAACCTCACAGTCAGTGTCAAGTCTCCATCGTTCAGCATTGTTGTAATTTTAAACAGTTACCAAACAAGTGGTCATAACTTGAGGACTATTATTACTATAAATGTTGCTAATATAGGTGACAATATACATGGTATTGCTTAAATGATTATAAAAAAGAAACAAATAGAATCAGACCTCATTTGTATTGAATGGAGAAAAATTCCAGAAAAAAGCCAGGGCAAACCACACTTCCACATTGTTGCAAAAACAAAATTTGGGGGAAGTATCTTTACATAATGAGTATGTCTGAAGGTTTCAACTTCACTCTAGAGCAGTGATTCTCGAATTCAGAAACTGAAAGATGGGTGGAGTTCCATTTCCAGAATTCCCCAGCGAGCATGCTTGAGTGATGTCACCAGATAGCAGCATCTTCAGTAGATATTTAAAGTAGTCCTTCAGTTATGACCATAATTGAGCCCAAAATTTATGCTGCTAAGTGAAACATTTGTTAAGTGAGTTTTGCCCCATTTTACGACTTTTCTTACCACAGTTGTTAAATTAATCACTGAATTTGTTAAATTAGTTACATGGCTACATGGTTAAGTGAATGTGGATTTCCATTGACTTTGCTTGTCAGAAGGTAGCAGAAGCTGATCACATGACCCCAGGACACTGTAACCATCATAAATATGAACCAGTTGCCAAGCATCTGAATTTTAATCATGTGATGGGGATGCTACAACAGTTGTAAGTGAGAAAAATGTTCATAAGTCACTTTTTCAGTGCCTTTGTAACTCTGAATGGTCATTAACTGAACTGTTGTAAGTCAAGCACTACCTGTATTTATTTGTTTGTTAAATTTATCTGCCACTTGTCTTGCTGTGGGGATACTCTAAGGCAGGTTACAATAATAAAAAGGAAGAAGTGAAAACAGCGTACACAGAAAGAAATAAGATAATTTCTTGTCATCTTACAATGTTATCTCTCCCATGGGAGTTGCATTGGCTGCCGATCTGCTTCCAGGTACAATTTAAGGTGCTGGTTGTCACTTTCAAAGCCTCACATCTATCCAACCCACCAAGGAGGTATATTTGGTGGGATTCAGAAGAAGGGCCTTCTCCGTGGTGGCTCCTTCCCTTTGGAACATCATCCCTGTGGAGATTAGATTGCCCCCAAGGTCCTGAAGACCTGGTTTTGCCAATGGGCTTGGGGAACCCTGAGTGGAATGGAGACCATCAAGTGGCTTGTTTGATTGATTGTTGTCATAGGGAGATGAAGGGGTTATTGGTTTTTATTGTTTATATATTGGGTTTTTATTTTTGTAAGCCACCGCCAGCCGTACAAATTTTCTTAAATAAATGCTAGAGCAATAAACTAACCAATGAAAAAGAATGCTATTATGGGTCATGGCGAGAAGAATAACTCAAAACAGCAAATCACAATTTTGCTATACATATGTTTGATGAATTTCTCCATTTTAAACCTGAACACATCCTTCCTCTTTCCAAGCCATCAAACAGTTGCCATAACTTGCTCAGCCGGATGAATTGGACTTTCACACTTCGTGAAGTTTGCAAGGTAACCCAAGAAGACAAGGGCGAAAAAATACTGTATTTCCTCAAAAGCCCACTGTGGCTTTCACAGCCCCTCCCAAGCCAAAACCTTCGATTTGTCTCGGCTTTCAACTGCCCTCATTCGTAGCCACTTTGGGAAAGCTGAGGTCGAAATCAACATGAATTCAGGATCTTTGAGCGGCTATTACACTAACTCTCTCCTCCCTCCTCCCCCGTCGGTCGCGAAGCGACATTTACCAGCTTCATCGAGCGACGAAATTCCTCAGAACCCGGCGCAAAATGTATCATCGGAAACCACCAACTCCTCGCAATTCATCCGCCGGAATAAACCAACAAAGCGGAGTTACTGGCACTCATCTCGACCAAGGGAAGAAAAAGAGAAGCGAAGTCGGGGCGGAGCCGACTGACGTGCTGCGACTTCGTTCGCTGTTCCCGAGTGCAGTTCTCGGTTTTTTAAGTTCACGCGAGTCAGCTTTGTTGAAGTGTTATCCTAATTCGGGTTTGAGCCGTTACGGTCTTGCGAAATCGAAGTTACGTATGATCCCTGGGGTGCTTCTATTCACACGGCATATTGAGTTAGCCGATCCTGTGGTGGGATGGAATCCAGCTTCTGGTTCTTTTCTTCATGAATGGCCCAGGAAGCTGAATACTCGAACTAAGTCTATGGCTTGCTGGTGGGTCAGGGTGCGGTTCACACGGCAGATGTTTGGCTTAATTCAAGAAACCGTTATTATTAAGTTAACCTTATGTCGCTTGATGCCAGCCACTTAAGACACAAGCAACTAACAATTTCTGACACGCTACAATTTATTAAAATATTGAGATAGTCAGGGAAAAATTGAATTGGATTCGACATTTTCTATTTATATTCTTCCTGTCCTGCTCTGGATTTTAATAGTACATTCTGTAGAATACACAGAAGAGGATTTTGTACTGTTTTGCCAGAATTATAAAGCTGGTCACAGATGGCAGCAGACCCTTTTCACTAGATCTTTGTGGGGAAAAGTACTCTTAACACACTGAACTTAAAACTTCTGTATGATTGTTTTCCATTATCAAGTGTTCACATACTGCAATAAGCCACAGGCCAGCTTTTCTGTCTTCTGAAATCCCATTCTGTACAGTCTATGGCCCTGTGTACTTGTGAGTCCAGAAGATGAAAAAGGGTTGGCTATTTGTTATATTGTTAAGTGTAAAAATGGATGAGGCATTCTTATTCAAAAGATAAGTTCTTATCATACTTTTGCCACATTTTGCTTTGATATGCATACTTTTGTAATTGACATATAGATTTGTGACCAGCAAAACAAAATGAACAGTTAAGTCCACTGTTCAAATCTGGAGACAGTAAAGCCTCAGATTTACAACCAAACACCACAGATATATTTACTTTCTGTATGAGCTGACTTTTTATTGATGAAATGGAAATTCTGATTATTTCATTTACTTACGATTCAATTATTTGCTTAAAACTATGCTGAACGTTTTCTTGTATGTAACATGTTCGTTTTCCTTTTTTCCATATATGAAAGCATTGTTTTTCCCAAAATTTTTTAAAAAACATTCCCAATGATTACCTAAGGTAATCATGGGTAAAATGGCACTGTAAACAACTAGTGAATTTTTGGTTGGCTTTGCACAATAATAATTGTGGCTTATTATGGCATTCAAGCCTGATATGGCAATTTCCCAAAATCAGAACTTTAGTTCCTAGAAGTTTGTTATCAACTACAAAATGCATTTCGTAAACCAAAATGGTTTCTGGTTCAGGTACAAGATAAGTTACAAATCGTTTTTACAATGCAGTGCATGAAAGATAAAATGGGAGCATGTATGTTTTTAATGAACCTTTTTGCTTAATGTGTCATTTACATAGCCTTATAAATATGAATTTTCCTTTAGAAAACTGAAATTAAACAAGCTTCAAATTCTAGAGATCAAACATTACAATAAATTATGGTTTATGAATTATAAATGGCTCATTCACAGCCAGTTGAAATTTATGATGAACCATAAACCATGATTTATAAACCACAGTTGTTAAATTCACACAACAAATTTGCCAAAAGTAAATTAGTCACTTTATGGATTAATGCAAGTTGAAAAGTAATGAATTAGTTTGATTTCTTATCATCCTCATTAATCATAATACTCTAAACTGAGTTTGTAAAATGTATGAGTGCCACAGAGGACTCTTATAACTTGTACTCAGTATGTGGGGATGGGCAGGTAAAAACAGTGGGACACTGAATATTATTTGGCAAAAATGCACAGAAAGTAAGTTGGACACAATAATGCAGTACATGATGATGTTTCCATGTGTTCTTAAAATTCAACATTTGATAATTAGTTTATTTGTATGAACATGAAAACTGAAAATTCTGGTTACTGCAGTTAGGACCCAATTAAATTGCTCTTTATTAAAACTTTTCCCATCAGATGTGTTGAAGTTTTGCAAAATTCTTAAACAGCAGTTTTATAGTTTCAACATATCTGAAAGGGAAGGGAAGGCTGGATTTGAATCTATCTCTACAGTTTGATAGGGATATTCTTTTCAAAGTTGCTGTTATGGTCTAGATCAGTGATCCCCAACCTTTTTTATGCCGCGGCCCGGTACCGGCATTAGCTGGGCGCCACAGCCCGGTACCGGCATCAACTGGGCGCCATCTTTTTTTGACGAAAAAGTGCTTCCGGTGAGCTTTCTACCCGGAAAAGCTCACCGGAAGCACTTTTTTATCAAAAAAAGATGGCGGCGCCCAGCAACCAGCGGCCCGGTAAGACTTGTTCCGCGGACTGGTACCGGTCCGCGGACCGGCGGTTGAGGACCCCTGGTCTAGATGATTCAGTTAGCACACCAAGGACATTCATTTTCTGTATTCCTACGAAAGGGTTATATTGGGCCTTTCACCGATTTCATTTACAAATGCCCTCCCTTCCCATTCTTCTCACAATTAGACAAAGTAGTTCTCAATTTATTTATTGTAACTATTTTCTTTCCCATCTTTCCAAGTTTCTTCAGTTGTGTTAACACAGTACTTGACTCTAAAATTATTTTTGGAATATTTACCAAGTCATGTGATTTCCAGAAGATGAAACGAAAAAAATTCCACCGCATCATTTTTTTCTAGTAGTTTTCCCCCCTGTATTTCTTCTTCTGCTTGTGCTATCAAGTCTCTTCCCCTTTCCTTGCAGTGTTGTAATCTGAGATAATAAATCTGTAGCCAGAAACTCATTTTAGTCACTGGACTTCCAGTTTGTAATAATTACAAACTTCTCCAGTCTGGTGCCCTCTGTGATATGGTTGTGAATTGCAATTACCTTACGAGTTCACTTAAGCATATGTTGTATGTGCACACACAGAAATATATGGTTGTATCCTGATTATGAAAAGATGAAAAATTATTGTGCTCTTGAATTGACGACAAATGATTATCTTAAGCTTGTCACAAAAGAATCAATAGGATTGGTTTGTAAAATTCTACAAGTAATTACAACAGGTGAAAAATAGGTGTAAACTGAAAAAATGAAGAACATCAGGTGTTAGTATATTTGTATCTGAGCATGTATAATAAATTTATATCTTAAAACAAAATTTAAACATACCCAGAGACTTGGATTGATCAATACTTTCAGCAAGATCAAAGTATCTGAGATTTGCAACTATCTGATAAATTATTAAAGGAAAGGGGAGGGAAACTGGATATGGTGGGAACTGCTATCCAAGATTTGCTGAATGCTAGTTTATGAAAAAAAAAATTGATTGACAATCAGTTATATCCATTTATCTATATCTACAATTAAATTATGTGGCAATCTCACACACAGTTTATGGAAGTAAGTTTTACAATAGTAAGAAAACCAGAAACTTTTCTGAGAATTTGTAAAGACTGGGGTTGTTCTTCAGCAGTGCCTTTGATTCTAAAACTAAGATGGAATAGTCCAAATCTAAAGAAAAATGGCAGCTTCTAAAATTTTTTTACAATTGTAAACTCTTTAAATAATAATTACTCAGCAGAATCTTACATTAATTTTATTATTTCATGTATAATTTCACGGGGCTATTTTTTGTCTTACTGACATTAAAGAAATGTTTTTTTTAATCAAGAACTGGATACATCATATTATACATATATAGGGACTTCAAGGAAATGAAATAAAAAATCTTGGAACCGTGCTATGGTTAAACTGTATTTTAATTGTATATCTGTGACAGAGTCTTTGTCTGAATAATTCTTATGACCAAATTGTGTTTACAGACATTTTTAAACTTGTGTTGGATTTGCTTTGTTTATCAACCACTGCTAATAATAATGTATGCCACAAATTTCTGAACAGAAAACATTGAAAAAAATATAAACTGCAGCAAGATACAAGATAATTTAGGCAGAATCCAAATAGTTAAGTCACTGTCCCAAATCCTATCCTACAAAAAGAACAGTCAAATATTATTATAAATTAAGGAATTAAATGCAAATTTTATACAATGCGCCTAAAATAAGTATGATTGGACTGAAATAATGCATGGCAAATACTTAGAACTTTGAAAAATAATATGTATATCCATATTGGCGTCATCAATATGCATTTTATCCTTGAATTACATCCTGTCAACTGCCTGTTACAAATTCAGAAATTAGGCCATGGTTATGAGCCTTTTCTCCATCATATATGTAACCAGTTTGATACAGATGGGCAACTTTGGAATGAAAATAGTAAAACTAAAGAAACCCTCACTGACCTATTTACAAAAAAAGTCTACAACTTTAATCTGAACAGCTAGGCCCTTATGAGACTTTCTCAGATTTATGGCCAAATGCCACTTCTGTCAATCTTTGTTTTACAGGATTTCTATGGGTCTCTTGTATTTGAATCATTAAAAGGAATGGAAGGATAAAGCACATCATCCTAAAACTGGTTTAATTACCGTGTTTTCACAAATGGCATGTAGGTTTACAAGAAACAACAAGTACGTTCAATAAATTTATTTTCTGCAAATTCAAGTGAAAGACCAAGCACATTCTACAGCAAGGTATTATTGCAGAATGTTAAACAAATACAGCACTGGAATATTCCACGTCTCTAAACACATCAATCTTCTATTTTCTAAAAAGCCACACCCACAAACTAAGGGGAAATATTAGGCATTTTTAGCACTAACAGTTACTCTGTGACAGAGCACCTCTCGTCCTTTTACAGTACAGTAAGGTAGCTCATACAGGAAAAAATGTAAAATGTGCTTACGGAATATCTACAAAGAAATGGGGGGAATGAGTCAATTCTCTGCAGAACAGTACTATAATACCAAGCTTATTTTAGTGAGTGCTAACCCTTAAGCATAGTGGTATTCATATTTTTGCAACCACTACAATGTCTTTTTTCATCCTCTCAGACAAGCTTTGTTATCCATTAGAAGATACCAGTTTTACTAAGAGGAATGAGGCTTACCTTTAATGTGTATGGTTATGGTGGTAATGTTAATTTCTTTTGGGTATTCTGAAATAACAGTGCAATCTTAAAAACCCATAAAAGCATTTGGGATATTAGAAAAC